CAAAATATACCCTAAATCTCTAATGTATGGCTTTGTTCTAGTCTCCTGCCTGATCACATTCTCTCCCTTTTTTTTTTTAAATCCTCTTCTTTCTTTTTCCAACCAACTTCTTATATTATCAATTCCTTTTATAAAGTCTTTTATAATTCTCATCTTTACAGTCATAGTCCATCCCTTTCATCGTATTTACCCTTATTTTTGTACATATGTAAGTTTTTCTTTCTTTAAAATTTTGGGAGGCACTCTCTTCTAACAGACCAAAATACGCCCAAAATCTAGGGTGTGGCACTGACCTATGCACCAGCCTGATCATATTTGATCATATTCTGTTTTTTTCTTTTTTATCTTTATCTTTTTTTTTTCTTTTTTCTTTCTTTGCCTTTCTTTTCTCCCAGTTTCAGGTCTCTTCTGATTTGTTTAGTGTATATTTTTCTGGGGTCATTGTTACCCTGCTAGCATTTTGTTCTCTCATTCATCTGTTCTCCTCTGGACAAAATGACAAGACAGAAAAAATCACCTCAAAAAAAAAGAACAAGAGGTAGTACCGACCGCCAGGGACCTAATCAATACGGACATTAGTAAGATGTCGGAACTAGAGTTCAGAATGATGATTTTAAAGATACTAGCTGGGCTTGAAAAAAGCATGGAAGATATTGGAGAAACCCTTTCTGGAGAAATAATAGCATCATTCCATTTATATAACATTTTAGCAAAGGCAGAACTGTAGTGATTGAAAGGAGATCAGTGGTTTCCAGGGGCTTCGTTGAGGTGACTGGATTGACTGCAAAAATGCACAATTTGGGGGTGATAGAAATACTCTGTCTTGAATGTTATATTTACATGAATGTACACATTTGTCTAAACTCAAACTGAACACTCAAAATGGGAAATTATATCTCAATAAATCTGATTTTTTTCTTAAATATACAGTAGATCCTCTGAACACTGTTTTTTGGGTTTTTTTTAAATACTTGAGGGTACAAGCCTCTAGTCAATTGGAATTATAGACCGATTTTTAAAGATACAATGTAGTAAGTGGGATGATGAGTAGTAGCAAAGGATGTTTCTGGGAACATAGAGTAATTCAGAAATGGGAGACCTGACAGGTACCTCCACTCCTCTACTCCTCCCCTGTGGAAGCTGAAAGACAGATTTTTGCTTTTCTAGCTTCTTTAGCTAAGAGTGCCCCCGTGACCCAGTTTCATTTCAAGGATGCCTAAGGTGATGAGGGCTGGGGCTTCTGGTAGAGCTTTGGCTTTCCTGATAAAAGGAGAACTTGTCACATTGCCCTTTCCCCTTTTTTAAATGGAAAAAGAGATCTGCCTGACATGAATGCACAAATGAAGAATGCTTCAAGTGAAGAAGAAAATTAATCTGAAGATTTTTTTGCACCTAAATGTATTTATTTAAGTGGGATTATTAGAATACAAGGAGTAATTTCTACATTTTCCATGACCATTGGATTCAGTCTGATGTCCTATTTCTCTTTAGGCTTCCTTACTTAATTGAGCTACATAGATTCTGTGCCAACAATATGTAAGTCGTTCCGGTCAGAATAAACTATCTCTTGACTATAACCAACAGAATCAGGGCTTGACGGGCTATAGCTCAGAAAAGCAGAGTACTTCATTTTTATATTCCATAAGTGGAATCAGGTGTTAGTCTAGTAGAATTTGGTGTTTTATAAATATTTCCATCTAAATTATCTTCTGGTGTTCCCATTTTCTCCTCTGATATATCTGCATAGTCATATCTTTTTGTCCGTGGTTGCTCAAGTGTATAACCTAGAGAGAAATGACAAATGTTTAGGAGGATGTCAGATATGATGGGGTGTAGACTCATTCAATATGCCTCTACCTACCAGGCGAGGTCTCTTCCACATTCCTTCTTACCACTCTTAGAGAAGATACCTTTATATCCTACTTAGCCATAAATGTCTCAAATTTCCCAGCTCATCTACTTTTCACACCATCATCGTCTATCTCTACAACAGGCTCTGCGGGACCTGGGTCTGAGGTTTGATCTACTACTAAGTAGCTGTATAATTTGGGGCAGGTTACCTAACCTATGTCCTCATCTGTAAAATGGGGATAATAATGGCACATGCTTCGCTCCAAATTTCTACGAGAATTAACTGTGAGGGTGCATGTAAAGAACCTAACGTTTAGTCCGTTTGGCATTTAGCTGGTGCTCCATAATGAAGTATTAGCCAACAGTTCTTTATGCATAAAGGAAGAGAAGCCTTTTCTTTCCCTAGAGCTAAAAGTTCTGTATCTTCTCTGGATTTGATTTCCTCGTGCTTCTTGGAGAAAGGGCACACAGTCTCTCCTCTTCTCCCATGCCAACAGCCTCGGGGTGGTCACCTTCCACTGACTGCACTGACAGGGCAAATCTCCCCGACTTAAAATGATTTTCACTTGGTCTCATGCACCTTCCAATTGCCATGCTATAACTTTCCTTCTTTTCACAGTAATCTCTTTTAACTCAGTATTTACATTCTCTGCTTCAATTTTTGTACTTGTCATTCCTTTATATTCTTTTATCTGCTGCTGAGAACCTACTATGGGCTACAAGTTGGGGATTCCTATCAAACAGACAAATCCCTGCTGTCAAGTGAAGGCAGTTACCTAAAACTGTTCTCTAGAAGGCCATCAGCTCCATTAAACCCCTCAAGTGGAGACCACAGAGCATTTCTAAGGAACAGGCCGGAGGCTGGTGATGCAGGGTTGTGGGGGAGGGGGAGAGTGGGACACGATAAGGGTGGAAGGGGAGCCAGAACCAGAAGGCCATGGCAGAGTTACGACTGTACTCCAAGCGCAGTGCGAAACTATGAGAAACAGCAGAGGTACTCATCGTTAGGAGTGTGGCTTCTAAGGCTAGCCGGCCTCCCTTCAAATCCTAGCCATCACAGGAACTGACCATGTGACCTTGAGCAAGTGACTTGGTATCTGTTTGCTTATCTGTAAAATGAACCTTGTCTCATTGAGCTGTTCTGAAAATTAAATGAGTTAATTTTATAAAGCACTTTAGGACACCACTTCCACATAGTAATTGCTAAAGAAGAGTCTGTTAAATAAATGTTGTAAATGTACTGATTTAAATCTGTAAAAGAGCACTATCTATTGGGTGGGCAGTGCCCTGGATGACAGTCAGTTTGGAGGCTGTTGGAGAAGCCCGCAGCGGGATGACGGACACGTGGACTGTGGGGATGGCCGTGAACTGGGAATAAGTAGACAGGTTAAGACGAATGACAGCTACCATTTACAGAGTACATATTATGTGCTAGGCACTATTCTAAGCTCTTCACACGTATTATCTCTTATAACCTCAAAACAACTGATGAGCTAGGTACTACTGTTATTCTCATTTTACAGATGAGGAAACTAAGCCAGTAATTTCCCCAGTATCACACAGCCAGTAAATGGCAGAACCAAAAATCAGAACGAGGCCGTCTGAATCGACATTCCACAATTGTAACCTCCTGCCTCTCAATGATGATCACAGGACAGAACCCATACACTCAGATTATACAATACCCATAATTAGGCTTGAGCTATGTTAGAATTACTGATATTTCTAGGACATGAGAATATGCTTCCTCAAGAGGCTATCACTTTCAGCTTCTCAGTACTGTGGACCACTGGCGGGACAAGTGGCAGACAACCTAAAAAATATTTCTAACGTTAAAAAAAAAAATTTTTTTTTAAAGTAGGCTCCATGCCCAATGTGGGGCTTGAACTCAAGACCCCGAGATCAAGAGTTGCACACTCTAACAACGCCAGCCAGGTGCCCCTATTTCTAACATTTTGAGGCATTTACTTTGCCATGTGAAGTTTGCTCATTAAAAAGAATTACCGAAACCATGAGAGAAGCAACTTTCCAAAAGGAGGGTTCATTTTTTAAGCCATTTTATCCAACCTAAATAAAACAGAAAATTTTCTTCTATTCCCAAATAACAAGCTTACATGTAAAGGTAAAAATGACTTAGCAAATTCATCCATGTCTATATACTGTGCAGGGTGCTGAAATGTTAGGTGCTTAGAAATGTGTACGTGTGTGCAATGTGTCATTCTGTTCACAAGAATTCCCCATAAAAGTATTGCTAAAAATCACCTACTTTTGAAGTTATCTGAAGAGTTGCTTGTAGCAATTTCCTTCCAGTTGGCAATATACCTAAGCACATTATATGGGCATTCATTAAATTAAATCAATGTATTAGTAATAAATTGATCCATTAGTACATGTTAGACTACTTCTAAAATTCCACTTTCTCTATGAAATCTTGGATTGATGGTGCCAAATGCTCAGGTCCAAATGTTTAATTCTCATGACTTGTCCATCTCTAGCTAGCTCCCATGTACTTAAGGCAAGCCCTAGAACAAGGAGTTGAAGGAGAAATAAAAATGGTACATCTACCATCTACCATAATCGTGCCCTCTGATTTCCCTCCAGCACACCTCTTCTCATTCTATGCTGTTCCACTCCTGCAACTTCATGTCCTCAGTTGAGTGCACACTAAGATCTCAGTTAACTTCTAAATTAAAAGTACCAACAGAAAATTCTCTGGAAGGGAAAAAGTCAGGGGAAAACAACAACAAAAAACTTCCTCCTTCATTCTGCGTTGTCAGACTTAGGGTCTCTGTCATGTCAATGGAAATTTAAAGTGTGTGCTTTATGATATTATTAGAGTAACGGTGCCATCTTTGCCATGTCTGGTAAATATAAGAAATTACATTAAAGTCAAGCACAATTTTCGGGCTGCCACCTCTATTCCCTAAACAGAGACTGAATTAGGGAGACAAAGGCAGCCCAAGAAGAGGTAGAATAGGGAAGGGGAAGGCACAATGAACTACAAAGATGAGTAGAGCTTTAAGGAGGCAGGTTTCCTGTGACTTATCCTATTTCATCCCTTTTCCCAAGCCTCCTTGAAATCAGGTAAGGAGTTGGTTGCATCCCAAAAAAATCAAGTAAGGAGGTGGTCCCAAAAGGTGCTGATAACGGACCTGGCCGAGAAAAAAATGAGAATTCTGAATCATGTAATTCAGAAAAACGCTATGATTTTGCAAGTATTTATTTATTCCTTTTGAATTGTTTTTACCTTTGTTGACTGTGTGTTTCTGGTTTGTTTGGGTTTTTGTTGTTGTTATAGGAAGGTATATATTATCCAACAGTATTTAATTATAACAAAGTATTGTGGTTAAGTTGGCCCTTCCTGTCACAACTACCTATTGTTGCTCCAAGAACTTTATTCTACAGCCTTAAATAGGATGCGGGTGGTCACAGCCACATAAAAAAGATGCAGGAAAACAGCAGGCAGTGTAAACCCCCTCCAGGATCTCTTAGTAGACAATTCAATCTGGCTTCACCTTAAATTTGGGCAAATTCTGTCTTCAGTGGTCACTGAACTCGGAGGAACACTATGAAGTGTTGGATGTCAATTATCCTGCTTCCTTGGATTTATATACTGAAAGGTTTTCATTACACTTTCAAGAAACCAAGATAAAGGACCTCCAATCAATTGTATGCCACGACCTGACAGCTTGGGGCATAAACATACACCATATTTAAGGCTGATCACTAACCCTGCTCTACCTGAGATTAGGACATGAATTTATTTAGTTGCATAAATTTTTTTTTCTCATAATGTACATACGAGCTGTGAGCAATAAGAAATCTAAGTTTTACAAAGAGAAGCAACAATCTAATGAGAGCATTGCCATGCTGATCTGTCTTTCTAAGATATTTTTAGAATTTTTTACAGAATAAAGTGTATGTGGAATCTATAGTGAATCCCTCAAAAGTATAAATTTAACATCTTAACAGCCCAGGAAAAGTCCCTGGCCAGAGAAGCTATGTAACTACATGTCTTAGATACCAAAGGAGCAGCTTCAGACATAGAAACTACCCATAACACACATAGGCAAAGAGCTCTCACCAACAGGATTCATAGAATATCAGAAGACTAAGATAATCCAGCAACTAACCACTCAACAGGTTATGTCAAAATTCACTTGCAGTTTGAAAAATATGAAGACTCTGGAAGAGGAACATCCATCTTGATAGAGAATATGACCCTGAAACCCAGCAGGATAAATGCCAGCAACAGTCACAGTAGCCATCATGTGGGTGACTCAGTCATGGCAATGCAAGCACTGTTTTACATTCTAAGTGCCTGTACCAGCGTATCCCTGTATACCGCAGAAGGGCAACAGTCCTCATCTGTATCCCTGAGTCCTAGAGTTAAGTTGGCTCTATCTATTCTTCAAAGTAATAACAACATCGTTCTCAGTTGATATTGTTGCAATCAGAATATGCCCATGATTGTTTCCAGTGGAGCGTCCATCTGTCACACAAGGGGCTAGCACACAAGCTTTTTGGGAAGAAACTGGTTTGTATCACTGAACATCAATGTTCAACACATTTATGTCATTCTAATGGTCTGACTACTGAAAAGTGTCCACAGATTTCCACTATCAATTTTCCTGAAGGGAAAAATGTCAGACACTGAAATTTTTAACAAACAAGGTGTCATCAAGACAGCTGCAAATATCTAGATGACTACGAAGATCTAACAGAGAGTAGACTGTGAAGTCCATAAATACACTGCGAAAATGGTGCTTATACCTAACACCTGCCATTAGTAGGGGAAGATGTTTGCAAATTTGGTCTTGCCTGAGATAATCAGTAGCTTGAGTTCAGTAATGTTACTGAAATATTCCAAATAATCATGCTGGAGTCCTTTGAAAATTTGTTGTCTATGACTCAATAGAAAAAGTTAGAATATAAGAATACCACTAAGGAAAAACAATCAAACCACAAGGGAAGAAAGCAAGAGAACAAGAACAGAAAAGAATTACAAAAACAACCAGAAAAAGAAATTAACAAAATGGCAATAAGTGCATACCTATCAATAATTACTTTAAATGTAAATTGACTAAATACTCCAATCAAAAGATAAAGGGTGACAGAATGGATTAAAAAACAAGACCCATCTATATGCTACCTCTAAGAGATCACTTCAAAATAAAGACACACACAGACTGCTGGTGAAGGTGTTGAATAATGCAAATGGAAGTGGAGAAAAAGCCGGAGTAGCAATATTTATATCAGACAAGACAGACTTTAAAACAAAGACAGTAGCCAGAGACAAAGAATGGCATTACATAACGATGAAGGGATCAATCCAACAAGAGAATATAACAATTGTAAATATCTCTGCACCCAACACAGAAGGATCTAGCAAATGTTAACAGATATTAAGGGAGAAATAGACAGTTATACAATAATATTAGCGGATTTTAACACTGCCTCTATGTCAATGGATAGATTACCCAGACAGAAAATCAATAAGAAAACAGTGGCTTTGAACAACATATTAGACCAGATGAACCTAACAGATGTATACAGAAAATTCCATCCAAACACAGCAGAATACATATTTGAGTACACATGGAATATTCTTTAAGACAGATCACATGTTAGGCCAAAAAAACCAGGCCAGAAAATAAATCTCAATAAATTTAAGAAGACTGAAATCATATCAAGCATCTTTTCTGACCATATCTGTATGAAACTAGATATCAATTACCAAAAAAAACCCCACCAAAACCGAAAAAAATCACAAACACATGAAAGCTAAACTAAACAACCAATGGGTCAACAAAGAAATCACAGAAGAAATAAAAAATACATGGAGATAAATTAAAATGAAAGGATAATAGTCCAAAATCAATGGGATACAGCAAAAGCAGTTCTAAAAGGGAAAGTTTGTAATTATATATGCCTAACTCAAGAAACAAGAAAAATCTCAAACAACCAACCCAAACTTACACCTACGGAACTAAAAAAAAAAAAAGAAAAAACTAAGCCCAAAGCTAGTAGAAGGAAAAAAAAAAAAGGAATAGAGAGGAAATAAATTACATAAAGACTAAAAGAACAATAGAAAGTATCCATGAAACCAAGAGGTGGCTCTTTGAAAAGATCAACAAAATTGATAAACCAGAGAATAAAATCAGAAATGAAGTTGGAGAAATTACAACTGACACCACAGAAATACAAAAGATTATGAGAATATTATATAAAATTATATGCCAAAAAATTGGAACTGAGAAGAAATGAATAAAGTCCTAGAAACATATGATCTTCTAAAACTGAATGACAAAGAAATAGAAAAAACTGAACAGGTCAATCACTCTTAATGAAATTGAATCAGTAATCAAAAAACCCCCAACAAAAGTCCAGGATCAGATGGCTTCACATGTGAATTCTACCAAACATTTAAACCATAAGATATCTAGGAATAAACCTAACCAAAGAAGTAAAGGATCTGTACTCTGAAAACTATAGAACACTTGTGAAAGAAATTGAGGAAGACACAAAGAAATGGAAAAACATTCCACGCTCATGGACTGGAAGAACAAACGTTGGTAAAATGTCTATGCTACGCAAAGCAATCTACACATTCAGTGCAATTCCTGTCAAAATACCATCAACATTTTTCATAGAGCTGGAACAAACAATCCTAAAATTTGTATGGAAACAGAAAAGACCCTGAATAGCCAGAGGAATGTTGAAAAAGAAAACCAAAACTGGTGGCATCACAATTCCGGACTTCAAGCTCTATTACAAAGCTGTCATCATCAAGATTATATAGTGAGGGCCCAAAAACAGACACACAGATCAATGAAACAGAACAGAGAACCCAGAAATGGACCCTCAACTCTACGGTCAACTTATCTTCAACAAAGCAGGAAAGAATATCCAGTGGAAAAAAAGACATTCTCTTCAACAAATGGTGTTGGGAAAATTGGACAGCCACATGTAGAAGAATGAAACTGGACCACTTTCTTACACCATTCACAAAAATAGACTCAAAATGGATGAAAGACCTAAATATGAGACAGGAGTCCATCAAAACTGTAGAGGAGAACACAGGCAGCAACCTCTTTGAACTCGGCCACAGCAACTTCTTGTTAGACATGTCTCTAAAGATAAGAGAAACAAAAGCAAAAATGAACTATTGGGACTTCATCAAGATAAAAAGCTTTGCACCCAAAGGTAACAGTCAACAAAACTAAAAGGTAACCTATGGAATGGAAGAAGATATTTGCAAATGACATAACAGGTAAGGGGCTAGTATCCAAGATCTATAAAGAACTTATCAAACTCCACACCCAAAAAACAAAAAAATCCAGTCAAGAAATGGGCAGAAGACATGAATAGACATTTCTCCAAAGAAGACATCCAAATGACCAATAGACACATGAAGAAACACTCCACATCACTCAGCATTATCAGGGAAATACAAATCAAAACCACAATGAGATACCATCTCACACCAGTCAGAATGGCTAAAGTTAACAACTCAGGAAACAAAAGATGTTGGCAAGGACGTGCAGAAAGGGGAAGGAACCCTCTTATTACACTGTTGGTGGGAAAGCAAACTGGTACAGCCACTCTGTATGGCGGTTCCTCATAAAGGTACAAATAGAGCTACCCTACAACCCAGCAATTGCACTACTTGGTATTTATCTAAAGGACACAAATATAGTGATTTGAAGGGGCATATGAACCCCAATGTTTATAGCAGCAAGATCCACAGTAGCCAAAATATGGAAAGAGCCCAGATGTCCACCGACAGATGAATGGATAAAGATGATATGGTGTGTGTGTACACACACACACACACACACACACACACACACACACACACACACTCACACTGGAATATTACTCAGCCATCAAAAAGAATGAAATCTTGCCATTTGCAATGATGTGGATGGAACTAGAGGGTATTATGCTAAGGGAAGTCAGTCAGTCAGAGAAAGACAAATACCATATGATTTCACTCATGTGGAATTTAAGAAAACAGATGAACATAGGGTAAGGGAAAGAAAAATAAAATAAGACGAACACAGAGAAGGAGACAAACCATAAGAGACTCTTAACCATAGGGAACAAACTGAGGGTTGTTGGAGGGGAGGTGGGTCGGGGGATGGGGTAGTTGGATGATAGGCATTAAGGAGGGCACTTGAAGTAACGAGCAGTGTGTTATATGCAACTGACAAATCACTAAATTGTACCTCTGAAGCTAATAATACAGTATATGTTAATTAAATTGACTTTAAATTAAACATTTAAAAAAATAAAGAAGATTTAATACTGATTCTTTTCAAACTGTTCCAAAAAGCAGAAGAGAAAGGAAATCTTCCAAATTCATTCCATGAGTACACATTAGCCTGATGCCAAAACCAGTCAGACACCACAGAAAAACAAAACAAAGCAAACTATGGGCCAATTTACCTGATGACATAGATGCAAAATCCTCAACAAAATATTAACAAACCGAAGTCAATAATACATTAAAAGAATCATCCACCACAATCCAGTGGGATTTAGTCCAGGGATGCAAGGGTGGCTCAATATTTGCAAATCAATCAGCGTGATACATCACGTTAACAATAAGAAGGAGAAAAACCATATGATCCTCTTAATAGATGGTAAAAATGCATTTGACAAAATACAATATTGTTCATGATAAAACTCTAAACAAAGTAGGTTTAGAGGGAACATACCTCAATATAATAAAGGCTATATATGAAAAACACATAGCTAACAATGGTGAAAAACTGAGAGCTTGCTTTTCTTATAAAATCAGGAACAAGATTAAGAATGTCCACTCTCACCACTTTTATTCAACATAGCACTGGAAGTCCTAGCCACAGCAATCAGACAAGAAATAAAAAGCATATAAATTGGTAAGGAAGAAGTCAAACTGTCACTATTTGCAGTTGACATGATACTATATATAGAGAACCTGAAAGACTCCACCAAAAAACTACTAGAACTCATAAATGGGGTGCCTGGGTGGCTTAGTCCGTTAGGCATCCGACTATTTTTTTTTTAAGATTTATCTATTTGAGAGAGAGAGAGTACTCACGTGAGTATGAGCACTAGCATGAGCACGAGTGGGGGGAGGGGCAGAGGGAGAAGCAGTCTCCCTGCAGGGAGTCTGACACAGGGCTCTATCCCAGGACCCCAGGATCATGACCTGAGCTGAAGGCAAATGTTTAACCAACTGGGCCACTCAGGTGCCCCTCAGCATCTGACTCTTGATCTCGGGGGTCATGAGCTTGAGCTCCATGTTGAGCTCCATGCTCAGGAGCCTACAAAAAAAGAAAAAAAAAAAAGAATTCATAAATGAATTTAGTAAAGTTGCAGAATCCAAAATTAACATACAGAAATCTGCTGCATTTCTATGTACTAATGACAAAGTAGCAGAAGGAAATTAACAATCCCATGTTCAATTGCACCAAAAAGAATAAAATATCTAGGTATAAACCTAACCAATGAGGTGAAAGACCCATACTCGGAAAACTGTAAGATACTGATGAAAGAAACTGAACACAACACAAATGGAAATATATACTGTGCTCGCACATTGGTTGTTAAATGTTAAAATGTTCATACTACCCAAAGCAATCTACAGATTTCATGTAATCCCTATCAAAATACCAACAGCATTTTTCACAGAACTAGAACAATCCTAAAATTAGAATGGAACCACAAAAGACCCCAAATAGCCAAAGTAATCTTGAGAAAGAAGAACAAAGCTGGAGGCATCACAATCCCAGAATTCAAAATACACTACCAAGTTATAGTAATTAAAACAGTATGGTAGTGGCATGAAAACAGAGTCATAGGTCAATGGAATAAAGTACAGAGCCAGAAATAAATCCATACTTATATGGTTCTTTAATCTATGACAAAGGAGGCAAGAATATATAATAAAGACATTTTATTCAATAAATGGTGCTGGGAAAACTGGATAGCTACATACAAAAGAATGAAACTGAACCACTTTCTCAAACCACACACAAAAATAAACTCAAAATAATTATAGACCTAAATGTGAGCCCTAAAACTATAAATCTAGAAAAAAACGTAGGCAGTCATTTCTTGATATTGGTCTTGGTAACATTTTTCTAGCTATGTCTCCTCAGGCAGAGAAAACAAAACCAAAAATAAACTATTGGGACTATACCAAAATAAAAAGCTTTTACATAGCAAAGTAAACTATGAACAAAATGAAAAGGCAACCTACTGAATGGGAGATATTTACAGATGAAATATCCAATGAGGGGTTAATATCCAAACTACATGAAGAACTTATACAACTCAACACACACATACACACACATCCGGTTACAAATAGGCAGAAGATATGAATACACATTTCTCCTAAGACATGCAGATGGCCAACAGACACATGAAAAGATGCTCAACATCACTCATCATCAGGGAAATGCAAATCAAAACCACAATGAGATATCACCTTACACTTGTCAGAATAACTAAAATAAAAAAGACAAGAACTAGTAAGTGTTGGTGAGGATGTGGAGAAAAGGAAACCCTCCTGCACCGTTGATGGGAACGCAAACTGGTGCAGCCACTGTGGAAAACAGTACGGAGGGTCTTCAAAAATTGAAAATAGAAATACCATATGATCCAGTAATTCCACTACTGGGTATTTACCAAAAGAAACAAATACACTAATTCGAAAGGATATGTATGTTTATTGCAGCATTATTTACAGTGGCCATGACATGGAAGCAACCCAAGTGTCCATCAACTGATGAATGGATAAAAAAGATGTGGTAGATACACACACACACACACACACACAGTGGAATATTACTCAGCCATAAAAAATGATCTCAACATTTGTGAAAATATGGATGGAGCTAGAGGGTATAATGCTAGGTGAAATAAGTCAGATACAGAAAGACAAATACCAAAGAATTTCACGACCCTATGAACTAGATTTTGTTTCTAAGAAACAAAACAAATGAACAAAAAAGAATCAGACCCTAAATGTAGAGAACTGATGTTGGTCAAAGGGGAGGTGGGTGGCAGGATGAGTGAAACAGATAAAGGGGATTAAGAGATACACAAACCTCCTACAGCCAAACTATGGAAAGAGCCTAGATGTCCATTAATAGATGAAAGAAGATGTGGTATATATACACAATGGAATATTATGCAGCCATCAAAAAAAATGAAATCTTGCCATTTGCAACCATGTGGATGGAATTAGAGGGTATTATGCTAAGCGAAATAAGTCAATCAGGGAAAGACAATTATCATATGATCTCACTGATATGAGGAATTTGAGAAAGAAGACAGAGGATCATAGGGGAAGGGAGGGGAAAATGAAACAAGACGAAACCAGAGAGGGAGACAAACCATAAGAGACTCTTAATCTCAGGAAACAACCTGAGGGTTGCTGGAGTGGGGGGTGGGGTGGGAGGATGGGGTAAGTGGGTGATGGACACTGGGGAGGGTATGTGCTGTGGTGAGTGCTCTGAATTGTGTAAGACTGATGAATCACAGACCTGTACCCCTGACACAAATCATACATTATATGTTAATAAAAAAAGAGAGAGATGCAAACTTCCAGTTATAAAATAAGTCACAGAGATGAGAAGTACAGCATCGGGAATACAGTTGATAATATGTGTGGTAAAGTTGTACGGTGACAGATGGTGACTATATTTATCATGGTGAACACTGAGCTACACACAGAACTGTCCAATCACTGTTTATAGACCTACAACTCATGTAACACTGTATGTTAATCATACTTCAATTAAAAAAAAAATACCTAAGTCTAATTCTCTTTTTCTACTTTTATACCATCGTTTTTATATTCTTCCCTCATATCTTCTTTTTTTCTCAACAAACAATACTCGTTTGCTTTTTGTTTTTCTTTTTTAAAGATTATGTTTGTGGGCCCAAGATTCGAGGCAGAGGTGGGAACATCAGAAATATACATGAGGCCTGCCCTTGCTCCCCAGTAAAAGCAGAATGCATTTACTCATCAAAGTTCAGTGCATTTGTCCAGTTCAGCACTTCATCCACTTCCCATTCCATCACAGAATCTATTCCACCGCCTTCGACAGCTCTCATTAGCCCCTTGGTGGCTGTGTGAATTAAATCTAGAGTTCTATGATTTGTTGACTTAGCCTCTAGGTTTCCTGCATAGTACCTAAACAGGGGAAAGGAAGGGAGACATCATCTTGTGAAACAGGTCATTACTAGTAGATACAGTTAATACATATATTGTTGCTGTGAAACCACTTACATATTAAACCAGGTTTTCACCTGATTTATCTCAAATACATCCAAACCACGTTCTATGTGATGGGATCTTTTGGGGGAAAAAAAGAAAAAAAAGAAACAAGGCAACTTAATCAACCATGCTAACTGGTGAAGCCTCGTTTCAAAACCACCCCTTGGTACACTGCCCTGCTATGATACAATGAAAAACCAAGTAATTAAATCACCAAATCATAGAATTACAGAGTCAAAGGATCTTGGAGACCAGATGATTAGCCCTCTTGTCTTACAGGAGAGAGATTAAGTCCTGGAAGACAAGGTCATGTGACTAACAGCAGGTAAAGAGGGGAAAGCAGAGGGAACAGGAAAGAGAGGGAGAGGCAAAGGGAAGAAAGATGGTAATATCCTTTTTTGTGTCACGTACTTTTCATACATTATCTTGTTTAATTCTCTCTAAAAAGACACAGCCATTTGTGACACCTGTTTTTATTCCTATTTTACGGGTGAGGAAATGGAGAGCTGGGGAAGTTAAATTGTTCAAGATCATGTAAGTAGTAAGCAGATGTCAGAGCCCATCTTCGAATCAGACTCCAAGTCCAGACTTCTTCGGCTGCACTGTTCTGTCTCATGTTAGTCTGAGCACATAAATGAACGCATCCCCCAAACGTGAGCTAAGTGTGTACAGGCAAGTTAGCAGTCCTTCCAAGAATATTAGAAAATGGTGTTTTTTCTTTGGTTTTTCATTTTAAGATCTACAATGGTATTCCATTTTCAAAGTTAACCTACTCTGAAACTGTTTTCATTTCTTTTTTTTTTTTTTTTAAAGATTTTATTTATTTATTTGACAGAGAGAGACACAGCGAGAGAGGGAACACAGGCAGGGGGAGTGGGAAAGGGAGAAGCAGGCTTCCCGCCGAGCAGGGAGCCCAACGCGGGGCTCGATCCCAGGACCCTGGGATCATGACCTGAGCCGAAGGCAGACGCTTAACGACTGAGCCACCCAGGCGCCCCGTTTTCATTTCTTAATTCAACACAGAGTAGGAAGCAGCATGGTGGTCGTGTAGGGCTAGATAGGACTCTGATATCCAACTATCTGGCCTTGAGTCTTGCTTCTGTGATTTATTTACTAGCTCTATGACCTTTGCCAAATAACCTAGTCTTCCTGGGCTTCAGATTACCTTAAAATGGTAGTCATAATACTCCTCAGCATTCTTGAGAGGTTTAGAAGTGTAAGTCTTTATAAAGCATTCAGAACTATGACTGGCACATAGGAAGCATTCAATAAAAGAAGGCACACAAATTCCTGGATGGTAAGAGGTAGGACAGTGACAAGATATGTCTCTGCCTTCATGAAGTTTTTGCTTTTTCAAACTTTAAATAGATAATGATCCATGAGAGCTACTTTCATAGAAGCAGGAACATGCCTCTTGATTTATATTGGTTAGTAAGAGCACAAATTATAAGAAAGTATGATTTCACAATTTTTCTATAGTTCTTCATTCACTTACTCATGTAATAAATACTTATCGAGTGTCCACCATTTGCAAAGCATTGTGTACAGAGATGGGATTCCTTTGTGGAACTTGCAAATCTTCCACTCTATATTCCCTGAACATAATAGGCACTCAAAAAAATTAGTACTGAATGAATGAATGATGGTATCCAATGGCCCAGGTTTATTAATTAATGCTGATGCCACAACAAAAATGCATTTAGAAATCAGAAAATTCTGGAAGGCTAGAGGTGAACACATTTTTTATGAGTTCTTCCATGTTTTACCTTCCCAAATATACACTTGTGACTAGATTTGGAAATTGGATGATATTTGTTTTTCCTTTGGCAACAGTGATTTACAACAGTTCAGTTACCTATTTTTTACTCTCATCAGGGATATATAGAAAGAGGATTCATTTTAAAGAGAATTATAATACTTATTCCAATAATTTAGTTCTGTTCTAAACTCTTTAAATATTAGTCACTATTTATAGTTAAGTGGGCTGTAACAGTAATCAAACAACAATAGGTCAGCAAGGACAGAATTTCAAATACAACAGTAACCAGAAATACAGATCACTTCATAATAATCATAACATGTTTCATAAAAAATGAGCAGTATTTAAAACAAAAACAATATAAAATTTGGCTTTAGAGATAATGCTGCAATATATCCATTTTAAAATGATCTCATATTCTAAGATAGAAAATTTAAAGAGAAAAAAAATTATAAAAATTTTTCTGAAACCAACAGGGAGAGAAGTTAAAATGCAAAAGACCTAGTATGAATCAAAGTTTAAACTGGAAAAGAAGTCAAGAAAAGCTAAGATCTCTAGGGCAGCACAGGAAAGGAATGTAAAAACCACATTTTTTTTTTTTTAATTAAGAGAGAGGTAAAAAAAAAATCAAGATTTTGTTGATTTTGTTTACTGCTGATTCTCAGCAGAAGTAGGTAGAGGATGCCATTATCAGTGAACAAAGCACACGAAGTAACACTTCTTGTTCATCCCCTGCAACCTTACAGAAAGGAAACATTACAACATCCAGCTATAAGGGCTCACTCCCTCCCTCACTCACTCAACTCATTCAACAAACAACATGTCTTCATTAAGCATCTATCTACTATGTCTACATCCCTGTGCTGACAAATAGATCAGAGTCCCTGTTCTTTAGGAGCTCCCAGTGTAGTGGAGGTGGCAGACAAATACGCAGAGATTTGCACAAGTGTGACAACTGAGTATATAACACATCCGTGAGGGCACCTCCGAAAACAGTGCCCGTGCCTCGCTATGTCAGGGTCAGGGCAGGCTTCAGAAGCTGTTTGAGCCAAGCATCACAAGGTGAAGGCCTTGTTGCCATGGAATTGAGCCAGAAAAGAGCAACCTGGGGAGAGGGACTATCATGTGGGATGGAGGTAATGGTGAGCCCCCAACATGCTTCGGGTAAGGAGGTGATTTAATTCGTGTTTTCAAGACATGGCATCAGTGTTTACACAGAGATGGCAAAGGATGAGAGACAAAGAGACCAAGTGGAAGGACTCTGCCTGTGAAGTGGAGATGAGAATACTGAGAAGCTCCAGTCGGGGAGGGACAGACATGCCAGACTTGGGAGAGTCTCTGGAAGCAGAATTGATAGGACTTTATGACAGATGACCCACGGGAGCTTATGACAGGTAAGAAGTCAAAGAGAACCCCTACATTTCTGACTTGGATGACTGGGTAAATGATGGTGTCATAACCTGAGGCCAAGAGGAATATGGAAAAGAAACCATTTTTATGATGAGCAATATAAGAAATTCAGTGTTAGACCAATTGAGTTTGAGATAGAAATGTCCATGTAATTAGAAATAGAGAGCTCAGTTATGGATGAGGATTGAGAGTAAACAGAGGAAAGAAAAGAAAAAAGAAATAAAACAGATTATTATTCATGTGCATTGGCTTATTTCCAGGTGTCTCGCCCTCCGGTCTCCCCCCACCGCGGTGCTGTGTCTCAGCGTCAGCAAATCACACGAGCCTTCTGTCCGTGCTAGCTGTTTCTGGGGACAGCACACACGGTGAGCGTACTGCGTTGTTCTCAGCCTATTACCACTTCCTTTACTGTACATGCATCCCCAGTTAGAGGCAATGTTGTATGGAATAAAATGATGATGGATAAGGCTTCTGTAATAAATGGTATTGCTGACAGAAGTAATGCAAGCAGAGAAATAAAACACACACCCAAAATATTTGTCTATCACTGCGAACACAAAGAGATGCCACCTCTATCTGGGAAGGGTCCAACATAATCAGCCTGCCACCAGGCAGCCAGCACACTGTTGGAGGCAAAGTAATGGTTTCTGCTGTCCAGTTATCTGTGACTACAGAGACAGAACAACCTCAGTGAGGAAAAGACCAAGTTTATGAATCTATATGTAGCCTCCATCCCTATACCCATGACCACTTTGTACATGGCTCCATTGAGCAACAACTGAAGAGGCCAGGTGAAAAAATGGACATTGACAGGATGGATCACCTCGTCCATCTGAATACTTAGAGCTTTCTGCCTCCTAGGGAGGACATTCACAAGGACACAAATATATGCTATGCCCATTCTGAGTATACCTGTCCCCAGACCTAATCCCAATTTCCCCCATTTAATTCCATCCAAGTACCTAATCAGCTGAGAAGCTTTCAGTTACTGCCCATAGACAGTAAGGTTTCTGTCTCAAACTGCTTCTCCTTTCTATATGAAGCAGAAAACCACTTGTGCTCACTGGGAGGATACCCTTTGACCATTCTCTGGGCCTACTGAGGGGTTGTAATCTAGTCACTGTCCATATTTGGATGTTGCCAGAATCCTGTGCAGATGCCTGGTGAATTAGACCTAATATACTCTCCCTCTGTTAGCTTGTCACAGGGGACTCCCCATGAAGCCAAAGGCATGGAGATGAAGCAGAGCCAATGCACGATTGAAGGAATCTGAGCCACCTGCTCATACAGCTTACCATAGCCCTCTGGACCTTCTCAGACCCATTCTCTTTTGTACTGAGATGATGCTGTATACTCTCAGTTTTACGGTTCATTGGATTAGATAAAAGTCAGGTCAGTTCATAATCACAGAGCACTTGGAATCCTACTGCCAAGCATCCAGTCTCTCCCAGGGCCCAGTAGCAGAACCAGAACTGATTTTCAAATGTAAAATAGCTGTTGGCAGAAGAGGGCATTACCTTACTCCTAAAACCTCTGTGCTGAGATCCTCTAATTGTAAGAAGCTTCATACAGCATTTCACTGTCTGTCCAATACTGTTGGGACTGCTTGGCCCTAAATGCCAAGTGGGAGCACCTTGACCACACTGTGGACCTGCTACCATGTTCATTCTTACACCATGTCCCACTGGAGCCCAGTAGCCTCATTAGGTTACCTTGAAAACTGGTTGGAGCAGCACACCCCAATGTG